TCTATAATTTTTCAAAAGTTGGGGGACCAATTCAACAATTTTGGAGAAGTTGTGAATGGTTGTATAATTGCCTAATAGTTGATGTACTATGCTGGAAATTACTGTTTTGGGATTGAAATGAGTGTTTAGCTGAGAAATATGACTATTTTGGAAGTTTAAAAAGATTTATGAGTTAAGTGCAATATTCACATAATTGGGGTGCTTAAATGTAATTATGCCTTTGTAAAAGCATTTGAATGGTAATAATTTCAATGCTGGAATTTTGGTATTAATAATCTAAGTGATAAAATGGTGAAGGACCATTTTGTGTAAATTGGAAAAGTTGGTGCCAAAGTTAAAAGGAATTATTAAGTGTTAAGTATTTTGGTAGAAAATGATTTTCAAATATATTATGGATTTTGTTCTGGGATGTGATTATGTTAGTACAATACTAACATATGTATTGTTATGAATTTGTGATTTGTACAGATCGTGATAGATTTGTGATCGAGGCAAGTCAAGTATAAAAGGGTTTATTGTGATTATAGTGAGGCACGTCTTTTGGATATATAAAGTATCAAGGTGAGTGCAATACATGCATGACATTGTACATAGATGTTTTATACATCATCTGGAAGACTTGCGATAAGTCGACCTTGTTTATATCAGCATGATATTATGTTATCTTTATAACTTCGATATGACATTGATATGTCACAGTGTGAAATGATAATGCATTGATCATGGATAATGTGATATTTTACCATGGATTTTAATTGGGTATGAACTACCCTAATGTTAAATATATGGTTATATGATACCATGGATGAATGAATTAGACTATATGCCCAAGTAAGTTGTTGAATGACAGGGTATAGTTGGCATGACATAGAGTATAGCAGCTGCATGTTTATATTAGCACTATAGTGTGTAAGGACAGTAAGTGTAATATGGTGGGCACGACCTTATGTGTAATGTACTTCGGTGCATATGGTGGGAGTGTAGATATTACTCGAATACCCAGGGTCTTCATAGGTTTACTTGTGGGCTATAGCTATTGGTAAAAATGTTAATATTTATATTGTATTATTTTAATCATGGTAAAATATTGGACATGCAGGTAACATGATCTTATGGCATTTGTATATGACATTAAATTTCATGCATGATTTATATTGCGCTATTTATTATTTTAAATTACCTCACTAAGTATATACTTAGCGTGTGATGATTTTCAAGTGTAGGTAAAAAGCCAAGAGTAGAGTAAAGAGTACAGAGCACTCTAAGCATCCAGGAATACACTACAATATCAGTAAGACATCCTATGATGTAATTTTAACTTAGCTACTGGCATGTACTTTTCAATGTCCTAGTTGCTCTTTTTAACTATTTTGAACCTGGTTTGTAATGGATAAACTGAATCGTTTTATGTTATTTTAAATATGGATAATATGAAACAATATTATTATTTTGAGTATATGTATTTAATATACATATATATGTTTTGAATATCATATGATAGTTTTACTTGAGATAATATTTTTATATTATCGATTACCAATTTGAGAAAAGAATTTTGTAAATCACCTTTGGAATTGGGAAAATGTTTTTAGAAAATCATGTGACATCCATAATCTGTATAGGTATATTATATGGGTTTTAGGTGTTACATTTGAACCAAGTTAAACTCGAGAAAACACATTCCCTTATATTTATACGGAGAATAAATTTACACGAAGACATAAGTTATATGAATCTCGAATGTTACTTGCTAGGCCTATACGGAGAATAAATTCCCATGAAGGTGTCGCTTTCACCTCCACTTATAAAAGTTTTTGGAGCTCGGGTATAGAGCCTGAGATGAAATTTAAAACGCTGAAATCATTGAAAAAACGTCAGTACAACTATTTATTTAAAAAAAGATAATCAAAAGTAAATAATAAGGATCAAATAAATAAATTAAAATTTATACTTATAATTTTCTCTTAAGAAGATAACCGGAAATTAATTTTAACCTGACTCACTTACATGTCCCAAGCAAAGTCGCCAAGTTGTCGTAACCGTCCTTCAGGTGGGCCCGAAATTGGGCATAAACTTAAATAAAACATGCAAGAGCTTCCACCAATCATTTATATATTTTTCAAAATAATTAGGTTAATCAGACACCTCCATTTATCATATTACATGATCTGCATTTTACAATAAATATGTCGGGTTTGGGAGTCGGTTACAGTCAAGAAAGAATTAGCACCCTTGTGCTACCCTTTCGGTACTAATTTAATTTCTCGGTTGTCTTAATTGTGAAAATTACAAGTTAAATTAAAATTTAAAGATTCGATTTGAATCACTTACCTTTGATCGAATTTTAATTTTGTCCTAAAAAGCAAAGCCAAATGAGAGTTAAATAATAAAATAATAAAATATTAGGGCCTGAATAAAAATAAAATAAAATTAAATTAAAAGGCAAAATTGGAAAATACAAGAAGTTGGAGGTCAAATTAAAGTTAACTGGGGGCTGTAATGAAAGAAATAATTTGCAAAAATATAAAAATATAAACGAGGATTAAATTGAATAAATTAAAAATTCGAAGGCAAAATTACACATGGTAACTAAAATGAATTACGCATCAACATATCAGGGAATACGGAAATAATTTAACTATTACCTAATTATAACCTAGTCCCTAGATTATAAATACCCCTAAAACTAAAAAAGATCATTTTAACCAATTCCACAAAAAAATCCCTCAAACAATCTCAACTCTCTCCCTTATCCCCCATCCGGTCGAATGGCCGGCCTCGCACCGTCGCTCCAGCAGCTGAAAAAACCCAAAATTACCCGATAGCTTCCTCCCGCCACCCCGAAGCCTAAATCGAGACCCACATCACCTAAAAAACCCTGAATGGCATAGATCTACGCCTAAACGTTCGAGTTTTTATCTTTTTCCGATGAAACCTTTCATTTCCTGGCGCTGCTCCCTTCTCAAACTGTGACCGACGCTGCATTGTGTTTCAGAGCTTGTAAATAACACCTTATTTGACGATGTTTTGGTTTTTTCTTTGGTTTGGTGACTTTTGGTTTTAACCGAATATGGCTTGTTTTGGTTTTGGTTTTTTTTTTATTTGGTTGTGTATCACTGTTTTTTGTTCTTTCTTTGTGTGGTAGCTGCTTGTATTACTGTTTTTTCTCGATCTTGGTTCCTCTTTCTCTCGGCGTTCATCGGGGTATTTATAACCCCCTCGTTGAGGTTTGTTTCGGGGTTGTTTATCTATGTTCTCGATTTTCTCGAGGTTGAGGGTTATTGTTTGATCGGCTAAACGTGATGGATCAATCCCGATTTAGTCGGGATTCTTCGGCCTTGATTGCTTTGTGACCGTTAGATTTGGTGGCCAGATCCAACGGCCCACGTGTAGCGGTGCCTTTGCTGAGTTTACAACCCTAATATGCTTCGGGTCTTTTTTCTGGGCCTAGTTTAGCGGCCTGCTGGGTCAGGCAGGTCTGCTATTTGGACCTTGACCTTAATTTTGTTAGACCTGGACCTGATTAAACCGAAAAAGAAAAAATAAATAAATAAAGGAAAATAAAATACCAAATATGTTTCAAACTATAAAAACAAAACTTTGAAAAATTATATATATATATATATATATATATATTATATTTTCAAAAACCGTTTTATAAACTATATAATATATGCTTTCAAAGATGTTTTTTAAACTATATATATGTTTTCAAAAATATTTAAAAATTATATATTATACGTTTTTAACAACATTTTCAAAAACTATATATTATATATGATTTCAAAAATGTTTTCAAAACTATATATTATATACGTTTTTAAAAATGTTTTCAAAATTATATATTATATACGTTTTCAAAAATATTTTCAAAACTATATATTATATATTATATTATCATTATAAATGTTAAACAAAACATCGAACGAAAATGAGTGACTACAAAAATATATTAATCTTTCTAGAGAAAGTGATTATGATAACATCTTTATGAGATAAAATCTTGGTTAGTTCATTATTTTTAATATAAAATAATGTATTATATGGAAAAATATCTTTAAAACGAAATAAATTAATACTGAATTAACTGAAAACAGTAAACACAGTGTATTTATCGTCTGTAAACGTGTGATATTGTATTTTCTATTGAGAAATCCGAAATTGAAATTATATAGAAAGAAAAGTGTAGTTAATGCATTCCCTATTATTAGATAGAAATGTTAGCAACTTAGGAGTGACGTAGATAGAAATAAAATAGTGAAAGCAGACCATTTACTTTGATAGAGAGTGCAAATAAGTCCCCCTACTAACTAAACCAATTGAGTCCTCTTTGTGCACTATTTGCTTACTTCATAATAGTAGAGGGATTAATCAGGTACTTTCACCGAAATAAATGTGTAAGTAATGTAGCATTTTTCTCTCTCTTAAATTCAAACAGAACATTTTATTAAATAAGAAAAACTAAGATTATAATTAAACAAATCATAATCCGTGCAGATAGGCAACAGTTAAGCATAACCAATAAATAATATTTAATTACTACTTAATGAGCGAATTTGGTTTTCTTATGTTTATTTGCTCTTCTTTTTTTTTTCAGAAAAATATTTTTCTAATACTTCGTTTTCATATTTCCAGATTTGTTGAAAAACTGGCAGAGATTTTTTGTTTCATTGTATTAATTTATTTTTAAAAAAAAGCAATATTAAGAACCAAATTTGTTAGATATTTTATCACATAAGTGGTGCATATTTATTTAGTCTAACGGTCTATATAATCGTGTGGCTGGCTCTGGTTTATTGACTCAGTGCAGCCAGTCGAGCCGTTGCTCGGTGATTCGGCCGGCGCGACGCCGACCTCTCAGCCCAGAACAAAAAACAAAATTCTATTTAGAAATACAGAAACTTTTGAATTTCTGTCACTCGCAATGTTGGAAAAGGGTCGGTCCCATTGTTCCATCCACAAGTTTATGGCGTCCACGAGCCTATATAAACGCCTTCGCCCTCCCCCTGATTCTTCATTTTCTCATTGAAACACGAAAAGAAAAAGAATAAAGTTAAAAAAAAAATTCTTTATTTTCTCAAGTAAAATCTTCATAGATATGGCGGCTTCGGTCGATAATCGCCAGTTCAGGGGGCTTGAACCGGCTTTGGGCGGCGGTTTCATCCCCTTGAAGCCCGGTCCAACGCCAACCCCAACCCACCACCGTCATGTCAAACATGTTTATGTCGATCGTGATGATAATGATTATGATTCATCCAGCGATGATGGAGATGACGAGATCGACGATTATGAAGCCATGATTGTTAAATCCAACAACGAGGTCGAGCCGTCGATCTTGGACGCTCGAGACGAAGCCACAGCCGATAACTGGATCGAGCGGAACACTTCCTTGGTCCGTCTCACGGGGAAACACCCTTTCAACAGTGAACCACCCTTGAACCGCCTCATGCACCATGGTTTCATCACCCCGGTTCCCCTCCACTACGTCCGTAACCACGGCGCCGTCCCCAAAGCTTCGTGGGATGACTGGACCGTCGAAATAACCGGTTTAGTCAGACGGCCGATGAAGTTAACCATGGACCAGCTCGTAAACGAGTTCCAAATTCGTGAATTTCCGGTCACCTTGGTTTGCGCCGGGAACCGACGTAAAGAACAGAACATGGCGAAACCAACGCTGGGTTTCAACTGGGGAGCTTCGGCGATTTCCACTTCCATGTGGAGAGGCGTGCCGTTGTGTGACGTGCTCAAACGATGTGGGATCTTCAGCAAGAAACGTGGTGCCCTCAATGTGTGTTTCGAAGGTGCCGAGCAGTTGCCCGGCGGTGGCGGATCTAAGTACGGAACCAGCATTAAAAAGGAGTTCGCCATGGACCCGTCTCGTGATATTATCTTAGCTTACATGCAAAACGGCGAGCGATTAACCCCGGACCACGGGTTCCCGGTTCGAATGATCATACCAGGGTTCATCGGCGGGAGAATGGTGAAATGGTTGAAACGAATCATCGTCACGACGAAAGAATCTGAAAATTATTATCATCATAGAGATAATAAGGTCCTTCCTTCTCATGTTGATTCAGAGCTAGCCAACGCTGAAGGTAAAAAAAATAATAATAGTAAAAATAATATTTTTACAGAGCAGTAAAGTTATTTGCATGGGAAATTCAAACATGATGATGTAATGTTTGCAGCTTGGTGGTATAAGCCGGAATACGTTATCAATGAGTTAAACATCAACTCGGTGATAACGACGCCTTGTCATGAAGAGATCTTGCCAATCAACTCGTGGACGACTCAGAGACCGTATACTCTAAGAGGCTATGCATATTCGGGTGAGTTAAAAACCTCTTTTTTCAAAACCGAATCTTTTGGTATTTGGATTCGAACTTTAAAACTGGACATGGTTTGCTTTCAACTAAGGTTCATAACACCACTGTAAAACTGGACAACATTAAAGCTATCTTGTAATAAAAAAAAATGTTCCTTTTTTGTCTTTTGGACAAAGACAAACACAAGTTGTCAGATTTGAACGTGTGTGCAATGAAAATGAATCATTTTTTCTCCCTGTTGTTGGGAAGAATCGTGGAAATGAAGATAATTCCATAATTAAACATTGTTCATTTTGTTTGAATAATCGACAACAGGTGGTGGGAAGAAGGTGACACGTGTGGAGGTAACAATGGACGGCGGTGAATCCTGGCACGTATGCACGTTAGATCACCCCGAGAAGGGAAACAAATACGGCAAATACTGGTGCTGGTGCTTTTGGTCACTGGAAGTCGAAGTGCTTGATCTTTTGGGAGCCAAAGAGATAGCGGTTCGTGCCTGGGACGAGACCTTTAACACCCAGCCCGAGAAGCTCATTTGGAATGTTATGGTAAGTATAGTACTAAATTGTACTTTTTTATTATTACAAGGACCAACACTATAATTTGACAAAAAATGGTTTCATCATGTGTAACAGGGAATGATGAACAACTGTTGGTTTCGAGTGAAAACAAACGTATGCAAACCTCACAAAGGTGAAATCGGAATTGTTTTCGAGCACCCAACTTTGCCCGGAAACCAGTCCGGTGGATGGATGGCTAAAGAACGACACCTCGGAATCGCCGATGCGAACTCAACTTTGAAGAAGAGTTCATCGTCTCCTTTCATGAACACTGCCTCTAAAACATTTTCGATGTCCGAGATCAAGAAACATAACTCAGTTGATTCAGCTTGGATCGTCGTGCATGGTAATATCTATGATTGCACTAGTTTCCTCAAGGATCACCCCGGTGGAACTGACAGTATTTTAATCAACGCCGGAACCGACTGCACCGAAGAGTTCGACGCTATTCACTCCGACAAAGCCAAGACTTTGCTCGAGAGTTACCGAATCGGTGAATTGACCACATCGAGTTACATTTCCGACTCGTCGGCATCCTCGCCTAATAGTTCTATGCATGGGGCGTCGAACCTGCCCCCTTTAGCTCCTATTAAAGAAGTTGCGCCAGCAAGACCGGTAGCATTGGTACCACGTGGGAAAATCTCATGCAAACTCGTCGAAAAAACATCTATCTCTCACGACGTTCGTCGGTTCCGATTCGCTTTGCCGTCGGAACATCAATTGCTCGGATTGCCCGTAGGGAAACACATATTTCTATGTGCCGTGATTGATGACAAGCTTTGCATGAGAGCCTATACCCCAACAAGCACCATTGACGAAGTTGGCTACTTTGATCTAGTGGTCAAGGTTTATTTCAAAGGGGTGCACCCGAAATTCCCTAATGGTGGGCTTATGTCACAATATTTGGACTCTCTCCCACTCGGTTCATCACTAGAAGTGAAGGGTCCTTTGGGTCACATTGAATACACCGGTCGAGGTAACTTTTTGGTTCATGGCAAAACCAAGTTTGCCAAGAAACTAGCAATGTTAGCCGGCGGAACAGGGATCACTCCGATCTACCAAGTCATCCAAGCTATTCTAAAGGACCCCAAGGATGAGACGGAGATGTGCGTCGTGTACGCGAACCGAACCGAAGATGACATATTACTAAAAGACGAGCTCGATGGTTGGGCGAAGAAGCATGACCGGTTGAAAGTATGGTACGTAGTGCAAGAATCAGTAAGGGAAGGATGGGAATATAGCTTGGGTTTCGTCACGGAAAATATTCTCAGGGATCACATACCGGAGGGCTCCGAAGACACTCTGGCATTGGCTTGCGGGCCGCCACCGATGATTCAATTCGCCGTGCAACCTAACTTGGAGAAGATGAACTATGACGTCAAGGATTCTTTGTTAATATTTTAGTAGAAAGTCATAGATCGATGTTTAATGTTCTTTTAGTCGCTGTTCTTTGTCGTATTCTTATTAAAATTTTCCCATCTGATAGCAAAGTTGCTGGGAAAATGATGTATATAGAGAAACCAAGGGGTGCTCTAGTTTAAAAGAAGGGAATAAAATTGTATAATCTTCTTGTATATATACAAATATCGTTCCCATATAATTCAAAAATCTTGGCTAAAATATCTAACCTACTCACATTTGGTAAGTTTGATTTTTCAAACAAAGAAAAGTTTGTCCTACCAAGAAAATTCAACCTTTCCTCCATTCACAAGTTCAAATGCTAACGAAGAAATGAATAACATTTACGTTAGATAATTTTTTTTTTTTAAAGTTTTAAGAAGGAATGGGACCATACATAGTGGTTTTAGCCGCGTACAAGTGCATGGTATTTTGACTGCCCCTCGAAACCAAAGACAGCTGCACCTCCCACTGGTTGGCTAAATGCATTTGCATGAGTTTTTGGTTTCTCGGTACGTCCAAGGGTCGCCCCTTTGCTTTGTTTTGTTTCCCCTCCATTTGCCCCTTCCCATTTCTATTTTACTATTTAATTTATTTTGTCCTTTTACACCTTATCTTCTGTACTTTGAAAAATAAACAAGTGTATCCCAAATCCCAAGTGGGAATCAAATCAAACCACCAAACCATGTCACCCTCTTCAAATACTTTTATTATTACCACTAATACTACATTCCTGAATCTCAAATATTTTAATGGGATTATTGTTTTTTAAATTCAAGTCTTCTACATTACTTGCCGTGTGAGGAATCTTTTAGCTTACTGCTCATGATTCATTTAAGTGAATCTTCATTCTAATTACTTTAAACCAAGTGAACCTTAATTTTTATTATTCTTTTTAGGTTAAAAACGACAGCATCATCAGAGAAAAATATATGGATAATTTTACTGTACAATCTAATAATTTAAAGTTAAAAAACAGTAGAAATAGACTGCGACCGAAAATTGTTATAAAAAATCATAACATTTTAGATTAAACGCGATCCTAGAATGTTATATTTTTCATAATATTTTCGATTGAACTAAAAATGTTACCTTATGCATAACATTTTCGGTTACCGAAAATATTATCTTTTTCATATTATTTTAGATTTAACTAAATTTAATATCAAGAATATAATATTTTAAATTGCGTCCAAAGTAAAATATTATGTTTTTCTATAATATTTTTGGTCGAGCTAATTTTACCATTTTTCAGTCTTAATTAAGCTACCTTTTAAAACTTTCTCAAAATATATGTATATATTGATTGATTGTACTAAACTCTAATAATAATTTAGAATCAAAGTTTGTTTGACATTATCCTTTTGAATATGGTGAAAAATATGTTTAAGAATTATTTTTATATTGTTTGATTTAAATTTAAGTGTTTGACTTTATTGTTAAAAATAATATATTTTTTTATTAAATTGATATAAATATAAGGTAATATTTGTTTAAAGATAACCCTCAACCATTTAATATTGAACGCTCATATTTATGATATACCTGGTGCTCGAACTCTAAACTTCAAAGAATATTAGCAATTCATTTTACTACCAAAGCCACTTGGTTTGTACTTAAAAAATAACATTGAATAGATAAATATCTATTTCATATATTGTTTTTAAAACATAAAAAATTGTTGCTGTAAATAAAAATAAATAAATAATTTTAATTAAAAATATCATTAAACCAAAACACTTTTATAAAACAATGCAGATTTAATTTACTGCGAATATTCTTTCGATAAATGACACAAGGTAAATGTAATTATAAACATCCACCATCAGACGATGTTCTGAATAAATTATCTAATAAACACCCACAGTTTTCATTTCTTTGTGTTTAACATGTGGCCATCAACTAAAAAAAATTGGTAGATGGACAAATTTTAGTGAAAAGAATTGCACTTTATTCTCTCTCTCTCTCTCTCTCTCTCTCTCTCTCTCTCTCTCTCTCTCTCTCTCTCTCTCTCTCTCTCTCTCTCTCTCTCTCTCTCTCTTCCCCAAAATCAACTTCTAAAAGTAAATTTGGTTTTGGTGTTCCTCTTTGTTATTCTCTCTTTATTTATGGGTAGATGCTAAAATTTATATTAGGGGTGCGGAGTTATAAAATTTTAAAGGGTGCGAAATTGAATAATCAATAAAAAAAATAAAAAATCTAAAATATAAGAGAATTTAAAAATAAGTGATGTAACTCAAGCCCGTTTCTGAGATTTTGGTGGCCCTAGGGAAAATTAGGCCCCTAATCAAAGATTTAAATTACAGTTTAAATTTGTCTTCAGTCGTGTTAGCGGATGATATTACGATCACTGTAAATATTGTAGCTCTGAAATTTTAATAACATATGATATTATGGACATAAAAATTATGGATATCGCGATTTCAGACGATATTGTTACTACTACATAATGATTGTTGTTGTGGTTGCAGACCATTTTTTAAATAGTTGTTTCTAATAACTAATGTTAAAAAAATAAATTTTAAGGGTAACTCTATATAACAAGCATTGAAAATTTTGGTCTCTAATAAAAAATATTTAAAAAAAATTAAGAGTATACTCATAATAATAAATATTAAAAAAATGGACTTCTAATAAAAAGTACATAAAAAATTAGACTCATAATAATAACAAATAAAATTTAGAAAAGAAACTAAAGTTTAGAAGTATTCCCCTAATAAAAAATATTGAAGAAGTTGGGCCCTAATAACAAGTATTAAAAAAAATGTATCCTTAACAATAAATGTTAAAAAAATATTGGTAAAAAAATTAGACACTAATACAAATATTAGAAAAAAAATAAACTATAAGAATAGACCCATAATAATAAATATTAGAAAAATATGAACCTATAATAATAAATATTAAAATAAAATTAGACCCTCAATAACAAATATTAAAAATAATTGGGCCCCGTAATTTATATAAACCCATTTTTTTTATAAATATAGTATATTATAGAAATTTTGGGCCCTGGGCAGGTGTCCCTCCTTCCCAGGCCCAGATATTGCCCTGGTTCGACCTCGCCCCAATCGGTTCATCCCTACTTATATTCCTTTAGATTATAGGTTTTAGATTCGATATGAGTGCTCTTATTCTTTTCCAAGGAGTCCCCCTTCCCCTCCTTTCTAGATAGGATCATGATTAGATTTATAATTTGTAAAAAAAATGGAAGATGATCAAAGGCATTTTTTTATTTTATATTTGACCTAAAGTATGAAAAATTCATAGCATTTAAAAAGTTTAGTAAAAAAATTAAATTGTGTTATTATTATAGTTTTTGGAATGTCAACTATTTATATGAAATTTTAAGAAAAAGTATATTAAAAGTCACTTAACTATAATCAAATGATTATATTGATTATTAAAATTTAAAAAGTATAAATTGATCATTTAATGTATCGAATTTTTATAAAATAAACATATAACACCCGAACCTAACCAAATATTATAACTGAACCCATAATGCTATTAAACATGATCGGAAAATTGAATGTCATTTCGACTAAAGTTATACAATTTCTTGTGGTGACATGTCAACATCATTATTAATTTTTTAACGTAGGGTGAATAAAATGTAACTTTAGGTATGATTTTGAAAATAATAATTGGGTGACCAAACGGAACCGAAGTGATAGTTGAGTGACTAAATACATAATTTAGCTTTATATTTATTAAAATTATACATTTTTTTATAACATGCATTAACTATTTTAGAACAGTTTAGTAAATTCATGATCATTTTATAACTTTTTAAAGTTCAATGGTCATAACCATTATTTAAACCTAGTTTAGTGACTTCTATATACTTTTATGATTTTTTAATATTTTACGGTTTATATTATATAACTTTTTGAACAAATTTTACACAGGGGAAGGAAAATTTTGTTCCTAATGGGCATTGAATTCATAATTAGGGGTGAACAAAACTCGTTTCGACTTGAAAAAATGATTTTTTTCAACTTGACTAGAAAAAAATTCGACTTAGATTGACTTCGAGTAGTAATTTTATAAACCCGACTTTAAAAAAATTTCAAGTTAAAATCGAGTTGTAAAATACAACTCAAATAACTTGAAACTTGTAGTAATTAGTATATTGATTTTCAAGTTTGAGTCGAGTCATTTGAATTTGAATGATATATGTATATCACATATGAAAAAAAAACATGAATATATATTGAATATGGTCATAAAAATCATTTAAACTGAAATCAAATAATATCATAATATTATAAATATTTATAATTAAATTTAAACAAAAACTTGAAAATTTGAATCGACTCGAAAAAATTTCAAGTCAACTTCAAGTTATAAAATAGAACTAATCAACTCGAATAACTTAAATTTTTTTGACTCAATTCGACTAGACTCGATCGAACGTGCACCGTTACTCACAAACCTATAAGAGAGAAAATATCAACTTAGAACTTTTAACCACGATGATAAATTATAATTTTATATTTGAAACGATCATATATATATATATAATAAAAAAAAATTATTTGTAATGATAATCACTATGATCTAAGCTTGGAAACTATGGGTGCTAACAGTTGCTCATATTTTTTTTTATTAATGTTTATTTTTTTTCTATAATCAGTTTTAATTATTTGTTATATTTTGAATAACATGTTGCTAATTGGTTCAAATGTTAGTTGGTAGGGTAGAAGCTAGAATATTAATATTAAAGTCCACAATTTGGGCATTGCCTCCAAAGACTTTGGATCATAGTAATAACACTTTATTATTATTAACTACATGTATTAATTTATTTTAATTTGGTGCTTCAATGTCTAGTGCCCAAGGACAGCAATTTGAGCTGTCACATTCGAAAACATTTTATTGTTATTATTATCAATTACTAGTGTTTGTTTATAGAGCAAGTTGCAATTTTTATAATAACATATTAAAATAATTAAACCATATTACATTTTTTTAAATAGTTCAGCCGTTAGTGTATAATCAACCCAATGAATTAAAAAAATATCTTTAGAATGAGCTGAAACCAGATTTTTGGCTCTTCTGAAATTATTTATTTTTGTCCTATATTAATAAATTAAATCGCGAGGATAATTATTATCTAATTATTCTTAAATTCATATATTTTTATTGTAAAAATATTGATATTAATTGGATAAAAAATTAAGTATATTGTATTATTAAAATTAATAAGAATAATTAGTTTTATTGAATAAACAAAAAAATACAACGATATGAACCTATTGAGTGGACTCGTTAGTAAATGAGAGTGTTGTTTTTCATAGATGTCTTGAGTTCGAGCAACTACGTCTGTAGGGTGTGTGTGCGTTGTCCATAAGCTAAGAAAATATCTGATAATATATTATATTGTAATCATTCTACGTCTGTACGCTTGACGAGTACGGATGAACACCGTTAAATTAATTTATAAAATGTTAAATTATAAAGTACTAAACGCATAATTATAAATTAGTAAAAAATCTAAATATAATTTAATTAAAATACAATATTTATAAAACGGTAAAATATATCGTTGACCACCTAACTATTTACCCCTTTTACTTTAACCATCGACTTTTCAATTTTGTCAATCAGGTCACCTAACTATTTAAATCTTGTCAATCAAACTACACGCCGTTAAATATTAATGGAGGAGATGCCGTGACAATTAATAAAAATCTATATAATTATACATTTAGTCCTTATTGCTTACACGTTCTATTAATTTAGTCCTACCTTTTATTTAATTAAATAAATTTAATTCTCAATCTGATGGTGACATGTGTCACTGTGTAATTGGATTTTTTTAATATTTTTTTAAAATTTTTCATCTAATCAAATGGTGTCATGTGTCACCAATTGAATGAGTAGAAAATAAATTAAATCAATAACCACTTCTGGTGAGGTTTGAACCTGGGATGCAAGCCAAAAAATGAATGCCTTAACCACTACATTGGACCATTAAATTTATTTAATATACAAAACATAATCCATATAATTTATAATATAGTTAATGGTAATAAATGATCTTATAAGGATTCAAACATGAAATAATTAATATTATGAAAATATAAAATATATATAAACAAATATTATAATTGATTAATAAATGAATATATTTTATTTATATTTTAAATCACATTTAATGCAAAAATTAAAATAATAGTGAATTTAATATGTTATAATTGAAATGTATCATTGTACATATTTTAAATCAATAAATTGTCTTCATTATTATAATTTTATTAAACTGAAATGTATCATATCTTATATTTTGAAATATTATAATGTCGATCGACTTCTAATCTTATTTAACAACTCTATATTAAAATAGACTAATTCAATAAAATCAAGCTTCCTCTAAAAAATTCTTCAAATATATAATGAATAAATAATAAAATAAAAAATTATTACTCTAACCAGGATATAAACAAGTCAATGCATAAGTTAAAATGCTTACTACGCTAAGCCCTCAACTATCAGGAAAATTAAAAGTCAACAAAGCTCTTTGTTATATTTCAATTATAATATATTAATTTTTTTTTATTTTTTCATTAAAATAATTTAAAATATAAATAAAATACATTCACATATTAATTAGTTGTAATATAGGTCATTTTCCTTTTTTTATTACCATTAACTATATATATATATTATGTCTTGATAGGTTTGTTATTTGAATGGTGCCGCCCAGTGGTTGAGGCGTTTGCTTCTTCTCCTCATGTCTTAGGTTCAAATCCCCCCAGTAGCGATTATTAATTCAATTTATTTTTTATTCATTCAATTGGTGACCCGTGATACCATTTCATTGGATAGAAATTCTATTAAATTAAATAAAAATATTAAGAAAAAAATTCAATCACATAGTGATATATATCATCATCTGATTAAGGATTAAATATATTGAATTAATTAAAGGTTAGGACCAAATTAATAGAATGTGTAAGTAATGAGGACTAGATGTGTAATTATAGAATTTTTTTAACTGACACGTCATATCCTCCGTTAATATTTAACAGCAGGTGGCTTGATTGACAATATTTAAATAGTTAGGTGACCTGATTGATAAAATTGAAAATTTGGTGGTTAAAGTAAAAGGGTTAATTAGTTAGGTGGTCAATGGTATCGTTTGCCCTAAAAACTAATGTTTTATAAAGATTATATTTTAATTAAATTACATTTTTAACTAATTTATAATTATATTTTAATACTTTATAATTTAACGTTTTATAAATTATTTAATGGTGTTTATCGTTAATGGTGCTCATCCACTCTCGACGAGCGTTGTAAAAATTTTTATAGTTAAATCTAACGTTAAAAAAAGTACTACGAAAATTTTAAAATTTAATATATATTAATTATGAATTTTGTTATATATTATACATAGACACCATTCCAAGTAAGACTAAATTAATCAATTGAAATGGGTGTCCTCAAAACATCAAACTTGACTGTCAGATATCTATATGTAATATAATGATGTGTTAGTGACTTCCAATTTGATATATATTTTTCCAAGTCTTTGATAAGGACTTTCCTTATGGTTAATAACTTCAATAATTTTACATACTTTTATGGTTTTTTATAATTAATATTTTGATATTCAACTACTGACTTATTTAAATTTAATACATATAATTTATATAAATAAAATATGAAATTCACCGATTATATTATAAAAATATTAATTATGTAATATTTAAAATAAAATTGACTTTAGATTAATATAAATTAATATAAATTAATACTTCAGATATATTTATATGTAAATATATATTTGTGGAGGAGGAGCAAGTGGGTGTACCAAGTTGGTACTTCACTGTCACCTGCTTTCTTTATTTGGGCCAATTACATTCAAATTATATTTGTAAACTGGAAAGTTGATTTTGATACATGAAATGACTGTTTGTTCTGTATCAATAAAAATTTTAAATATTAAAATATTAAAATTAAATTTTTTTAACATTAAAAATCAATAATTAAAATTTTAAATATTAGATTAAAAATTCAGATGCCAGGGATTGGGCTAATATCATTGTCACCTTTAATTTGGGCCTTACTATTACAAAGTTGAGTTGGGCTACACCTACGAAAACGTTAGGGACTCATTTCGTTTGGGTAAACTACTAAAATAGTCATAAACTATTATGGTTTTTTATTTGAACCATTGAATTAAAACTTTTATCAATCAAATCACTTAATTATGTAAATAGTATTAATCAAACCACTAACCGTTGTTAAAAAAACATCACTTGACTAAATTTCTAAAAGAGTTTCTATTATATGTCACCTTATTCTTGAAAAATGTAAAGACTATTAATATAATATATATTATACCATTGCTAATAATTATTAATATAATAATATACAAATTTATATTTTAATGTTAATCATATATAATAAGTTATTAATATAATAAATAATATTTATTATTTTCATAAAAAAATATTACTGAATATTTAATAAGTTGTTATTGTTTAAAATTTTTACTGGGAGACTCGTTCACCAAAGTGAAGTGTGTGATACAGTCGGTTAGATTAGTCAGGAAAAAACGTTGGAGAATCGAAGGGCAACAAAAAATTGTTAATAAATTATTTTAAATATTAAATTATATTTTTTATAAAATATAATACATATTATTAATTATATTATTAATTTATAATATATTATTAAAATAAAAATAGTATATATTATTATTTATAGTTTAATCTATATTATATTATGTTATCATTTTTTTCAAGTATTAGACTTTAGATTTTGGTTAAGCATTTCTTTCCCCGTCTAACTAAACTCAAGTTTAAATCTTTACATTAATTAATCATTTGATTGTTAGATTATACTTATTAAATTAATTTTAAATTAAAATATATAAATAATAAAGATTAAGTGTATACTTATTCAAATTTTTTAATTGTCGCATTATTATTTCTGTTGAATGTTAACTATTTATATAGTTAAGTGACTTGATTGATAAACTTTTAATTAAATGGTCTAAATAGAACATAACCCATAGTTAATTGACTATTCATGCAGTTTACCCTTTTCCTTTTTACTCGAGCGTCTTTGATGTGGCTATCTGGGCAACTAGCAACGCCTTAAAGCTCTCCATTTCACGCTGTTTGGATACCGAGAAAATTGAAAAGGAAAATGGCGCATACCCTGGCGATGCCCGTCGCACCTTCTCTCTCCTTTATATGCAACAAAATGAGCTCTATGCCTCTCTCCAACACTGCTTCACTCCCAATTCCAAACCCTCCGAAGGTAACTTCCTTTTGATTTCAGGTAATATCTGTTTTTTTTTTTCAATTTTATTTTGATTAATCAGTTCACCTTCTGTTTAGGTCTTGAATTAGAAAGGAAAAAATTAAGAAGAAGCAAATGGAAATTAGTTTGTTTAGCTATATTCTTGTTTTAGGCTTAATTGGTTGTAGGGTTTGGGCAAAGCAAGGTTTCTTGTATTTGGACATTTACGATTTTTGGTGATAAAAAGTTCACAGAATTTGTAAGTTTGTAATTTTCCTATATTTCACCTGAAATTTATTGAGTTTGGAAGCTAAATTCTTGGTGTATTTTCTTTTTATTTTTGGTTTGTGATTATGTTTTATGTATTGAATCGAATAGCATCGTAGTCTAAGCATTGTCTGCGTTCGTGTTGGCGGAGTGGAAATTCCAAACAACAAGAGAGTGGAATTCTCTGTGCAGTACATCCGTGGAATCGGTCGCACGAGGGCTCGTAAAATCCTCTGTGATCTCGAAATGGAGAACAAAATCACCAAAGATTTGTCTGAAGATGAGCTCATTACGCTTCGTGATGAAGTCTCCAAGTACATGATTGAAGGCGACTTGGTAAATTGCCATTCTCCTTGTGTTGCTTTTAAAGAGTTGTAACCATGAACATTCATTGCTAAGCAATTTCGATTTTGCAGAGGCGGTTTAATGCCCTTAACATAAGGCGATTGAAAGAGATTCAATGCTACCGCGGGATTCGCCATATTCAGGGACTTCCTTGCAGAGGACAGCACACAAAGAACAACTGTCGGACTTTGAAGGGTAAGAGGGTTGCTATTGCTGGTAAGAAGAAAGCCCCTCGTTAATCAGTAACTTCTTTTGTTTCGATGAAGAGATTTTGTGTTTACGTTTGTTTTGAAATGAATAGCTTGTTGACTTGCAGTACAATATAAATCATTTCGATCTGGTATCAAAATTGGATTTGCAGTCTCCCTGATCTATATTGTTGCATGCAGTTTTCAATTTTATGTTATTTCTTTCGTGGGACGGGGGTCTGGGGCTTCTGCCAAGCAAAGAATATGGTATGGCCATGAAGTCCAATATTAATTTGAGACCCTGAAAGCTGCATTGATTTTTATCAAAAACTTAAAGGCATAATATCAAAATTAGCCCAACGTTTGCTAAAATGGCCATTTTGGCCTCTTATCTTCTTTTTTTTTTATAGCATTTTAACCGCTAAGATTACATTTTAGGGCAAAAAAGTCCTTGACATTTAATAAAATAGTCACTTTGACCCTTATTTTTCTAGAGCGTTTTGGCCTCAACATTTCATTTTAGGGTAAAAGGCCCCTATTTTGGAGCATTAATCGTGTGTTAACTAACGGTTTCCATCTATAGAGGGGTCTTATTGTCCCAAAATTTAACGGTGGAGATCAAAATATTTCAACAAAAGAATAAAGATCAAAATGATCATTTTAGTAAATATTGAGGTCTAATTTTGACATTATGCCAAACCTGAAATGATAAGGATAACAAGAAAATGGAGTTCCTCTTTTGTATAGAACTGGGAAGCCCAATTCATAATCAAGGGTAGTCCAGTTCAAATTCATATGAATTGGATTTGTATTCCTTTGTCCAAAATGGAAGCCTAAAAACTTCCCTAAGCTGGGGTTTGAGTCGTATAGGCAAGGAATAGGATAAAGGTGTAGCTTTCACCTTATGAATAAGGTGTATTTATTTGGAATGCCTCCCCCTTCTTTTGGCATGGATAAGGGGTATTTAAAATATTTTATTTATAATATTCAAATATTATTGATAAGACCTAATAATTTCTATTATCTAAGCATCCCTTTATACTCTCATTTTCTTAAACAATAACTTTTCTTTGAAAAGATTATAGTTTATGATATGGGGGTTTTGTTGGACAGAAACTTTAACGAAGTTACGGAGAAGGGTAATGTTAAAGAAATTAGTAAAATTTGAAATCGACATTTCATTTTTTATATTATATTTGACTTTCTCATTGGTAGGGTACGGCCCACTTTTTTATATAATATATAATATGGTTGGCAGTCCATTTGATTTGATGAGACATGAGACTTGAAAGAATCCTAATTATTATTATTCACATATATAGGGTAATTAATGGCTTGCAATAAGCTAATAAAAGCTTAGTTTTTAACGAGATATATTAAAGGAATTGACATACATTTTTTTTTTGTGTAGAACACACGCTTCAACAAAATTGCACTAAATAAAAGAGGTCATTCATTAATTCATGATTTATTTTTGTATTTAAGATAAAATATATTAGAAGTTATCGAATTATGTTTTGTTTATTAAATTTTTAAAAGTTATAAAATAGTATTAAATTTATTAAATAATTATAAAATAGTCATTATAATAAATTATAAAATTTTTATAAAATTTAAAAATTATTTATAACATTTTTATAAATTAATGGTCAAAATAATTATTTAAATACTCTTGCAGTTATTGTGTTAGATAGCAGTCGGTAAACAAACATCCTAGAAGACCTATGAGCACACACAAATCTTAAAAGCTGAAGCATTGATGAGACATATTAAAAGCAAGTGGATCATCAATCCCTAAAAAAAATAATACTTAGAGTACAAGTAATTAATGTTTTGATTAATTGAGATTTGGGGTGAGCACGTTAGGGTGTTCGGCCTAGATCTGGACATTCATATGTTTGGTGGAATAGTTTTAAAACAAAAGGCATACGAGCCCTTATATATTTTTTAAAAAAAAATTAATGTGATCTTTAAATTATTATTTTTATCTAATATAATCCTTCAACTCAGAAAATAAATCGGATGTAACTTTTTGACTAATGTTTTCTGTCATTATCCATTACTGTGTTGATGTGATAATTCACAACATTAATATGACAATCCATAGTGGTTAATGATGTGGCGGATGGTATGACAGATTAGCTAACTTTATTTTTTTATCTTATTCGAGGATCAAAATGTTTTTTTTAAATGTTATGAACTTATTTATTTTCTAAAAATAAAAAAAAATATTTTTAAAATTTAAATATAAAATATTTTAATAAATAAATATTAAAATTATTAAAATTAAAAAATAAATTTCTAAAAACATTATATATATAATACTAAAAATACTATTGAAATGAAAATAAATGAAATATATACCATAAACTATAAAATTATTAAAAATAAAAGTATTTTTAGAATGATATATTATACATAATATATAATTGTAACATATAGTCATATCATCAACACTTATATAAAGTTTTTTTACTAGATTAGTTGATACTTACAAATTTTATATTTAAATATAATTAAGAAAAATAATAAGTTTTTTTTTTATCAATACACACATTTAATCGTATTTCGAACGATCCAATCATGGGGCAAAATTTATAAGTCTCGACTAATATAGTCAAAATACTATGTACAAGTATTGATGATATGATTAGATATATATATTATGTTTTTAAAAATGTTTTCAAATTTTTTTAATAATTTATATTTTATCATTTTATAACTTATGATAAATATTTTTTTTAAATTTTTAGTGGTATTTTTAGTATTTTAATATATATTTAATTTTTCATAATTGAATTTTTTCTTTTTATATATATATTTTTAAAATATTTTAATTTTTTATATTTACAATTATAAATTTAAAATAATTTTTTTAAAATAAATAAATAAACCCCTAAACTTTAAAAAATCAATTTGACCATCGAACAAGACAAAAAAACCAATCTGTCATGTCACCCACCATGTCATCAGTCACCGTGGAATGCCATATCAACATTGTGAACTGTCACGTTAGCATCGTAATGGTCAATGACGAAAAATATTAGTAAAAATATCATATTAAGTTTGTTTTATGAGTTGGAGGGTCACATTATGTCAAAAAATAATTAGAGGGCCAAATTGATTTTTTTCAAAAGTATAAGGACTTTATATGCCTTTTTGCCTGAAATAAATATTAAAATGTTTAAAAATAATCTATAATAAATTTAATTCTTAAAATTTACATAATTTATTATTTATATTTTTGTTCCTTCGTAGGCATGCAATTTGCAACGCCCACCTATAATAGGGTATATAGCAATTAGCTAGCATATCCTCTATAAAATGTTGGCAGGCCTACTCTGTAGTCTGTACCAATACCACTATTACCATGTTTTTTACTGTTTGTTTCTCGAGAAAAATAAGAATAATTATACCGGTCATAGTTTGGCTCGAATTCTAATTTAATCTTTAAAATTTTAAGACATCTTATTAATATCATTTTAAATATGTAATTATGTTAGTTTGGTATCAAATATTACTTTAGATATTATATAAAGTATATTTCAGAATATGTGTATTAAATTTTAGGGCAATCTACATATTTAATCACTCAATTATCCACATGTTCCGTTTTCGTCACCCAATTATTTTTTCAAAATCATTATCAACATTACGTTTTTGTTCCATTTTGGTCACTCTGTTGACATTACACATTTTTTTTAAAAAATTCAATGATAATGTGACATTATCTTATGATGACATGTCAACATAACTGTTTTTTTTTTAACAATGGACGATCAAACTGTAACATTAGATATGATTTGAGAAAAGAAAGTAGTTGTGTCATCAAAACGAAACTATGTAAATTGTTAGGTAACTAAATATGTAGTTTTTTAAGAACACAACATTACCATAATTCAATTGTGATACATCTTCGTTGATTGTGAGCGTCTATTAATGTATAATATGATGATATAAAGTAGAGATAAGTAAAATATGATAATCAAATAAGCATCGTCTACATCTTAAGAGATGACACGAAATTCAACCTTGAGATAAAAAAAAGATTGTTATAAAAACACATAAAGAACATGATATAAAAGTAAATAAAAACATCTAAAGACTAATGTTGTTAATGGTAAAATTAAGAGAAGAACATATAAAAAAATTCATTATCATCTAAAAAATTACTCTTTAAATTTTGACATCTTTATTTGAAATGACATTTAAATAATATAATGGTTTTCTTTGTTGTTGATTAACAATTTTCTTTTATGCTAATAGACATATTTGATACTCATAATTTACATATAACCTATAGTTATTGTTTTATAATAATATTTCACTGCTGATGAACATAATACTGACCCTGAGAGTATTGGATAATTTTCATGACAATTAAATATTAAGAGTTTTATATAAATAAATTTTTTTTATATAAATCTGGGGTAAATACAAAATAGTATCGGTTTAAAGATAACTCTTAATCTTTTGACATTGAACACTCGTATGCTTAATATTTTTGGTGCTTGAACCCGGAACCTCAAAGAATAACAACAATTCATTTATCACCGAGATAATTAGGGGTTGTGCATATAAATAAACTTAAAACATAAGGAAAAAAGTATGATGAATCAAATGATTGAGAGTATTTAGAATATTTATTTATTTTATAATTAACTTTAGCTTAATAAAAAAACAAACATTCCATAGAGTAGGTCAGGCAGAGCTGTTATTGATTTGATTTCAGACACAAAGATTTGTTAGTTAAGATGTTCAGATAAATTGCCGACTTCAAAAACAATCGACCAAATTATAAAAATAATAATAATTTAAAAAGACAATAAAATCCCTATGGTCAGATGGATGTCTCATGATGGGCGGAATTTTAAATCGGATATTTATAATTAAATTTAAATAAAAATTAATTTTATTTTAGTTTGAATATATTAAAGATATTATACGGTAAATAAAAAAATAACTTTTAATCTATTATTTAAAATTAAATATTAAATATATTAAAATATCCGATAAAGAAAAAATATTAAAAAATACTATAGTTTTAAAAGAAACAAAATACATAAAGTTAATTGAAAATTTTTCTAAATAAAATCTATCAAGTGGTCTTAGTAGTCAAATGTAGGGTTGTTCTCCCAAGAGGTCTTAGTTTCAAAGCAACTGTGTTTACGAGTATGTGT